GAGTACAGGCGCGGAAGTGATCTTTTTGTAATCCATGCTGCCGGTCGGGGTGACCTTATGTGCCATGCTAGCGGCAGCGCTGCAAGATATTACAAGCGAGGACCTCAAGACATCTTAGCTTACCTAAGCGACTAGGTGCTGTATGAGAACATAGTCACGCTTTGTGCTTTAAACGCCCTTGTTAGTTAGCACCTGCATTGGCCAGCATCGGTTGCACTGTTATAAAGTATCACTTGTGTACCTTTGTGTAACAAGCCCGGTTCGGTCCAGATCGGCCCGAGAGTCAGGATGGCCGAAGCGCAACAGGCTCGCATGCAGTCTGCCGTGGACGAGATGGTTCAGGGACTGGAGCGCGACCACATCCGTAAAATGCAAGTGAGTGTCTGGTTGACGGGACGCGGGCGTTCAGTACACAGTACTGGTGTCTGCATTTCCCCGTAAAGAATACGCGACCCTCGTTGCATAACATTTTGATACATTTCTGGGTTTCGCAGCTTCGTGCCCTGATTGACAAGATGGTGTTTTTTATACAGGCATGTTAATTCTGGTCTGCTTCTGCTTCAAGCGATTTCACAGAAGGTTGCAGACGTGAAATTCGCAGGGCCAGATGGTGTTAGTTAAGGGTTCGTGTGAGGGCGATTAAAAACTCTGTGATGGGAACTGGAGGGAACCGGTTTATTTCTGAACAGTCACATTTACACCTGCTGCCCGATCTCTCCTTTTTTTTCCCTAGTCACGTTATCCCGTAACCCATCCGAACGCACAGAAAGTTATATTAACGCAAACCTGTCTGCGCACTGAAATGGAGAATTCCTTTTAACTCAAAAATACTTTTGACTGCGTAACTGAATAAAACAACAATCACAGGACCTAAGCTTTGACTGACAGGATTGATACAGGATTCTACCGCTGGTAACAGCTGGAATTGTTCAACCTGTAGTACCACGGGAGTGTCTGCGTTTCCTGACTGAGACTACCTGTAAAACTGTGTTTATTACTGTGGGAGGCTTAGGAGTGTTCTCATTCGACTTCATTCGGATGCGGTGTGAAGTGTGGGGTGCTGTCATGGTAAACGGGGGCTCGGAGAAAGAGCCTCCGTTGTCCGTTTCTCTCGTGGGCTTCATGTGGTGTTTGACGCCCCGCGTTCTGGCTGCCTGTCCTCCCCAGGGGCTCATGTTCCAGTGCAGCGCGCGGTGCTGCGAGCGCGCCAGCGACTCCATGACCCAGGTGCACCAGTGCATCGAGCGCTGCCACGCCCCCCTGGCCCAGGCGCAGAGCCTGGTCACCACCGAGCTGGAGAGGTTCCAGGTGAGACTTTCCCAGGAGGCAACGTGGGTGTGGAGGTCGCTCAGCGCTGCCCCCTACAGCCCGGGCTTGACCGCACAGCCTGGAGTTTTTAATATATAGGGAACTGAGAGACAGAACTCTTTAATGGAGCACCGCACATGACTGAAACTTGCATTGATCTCTAATCATATAATAATGTCATGAAGTCTGCAGAAGGTAGAGCAATGCAGAAAAGAGCACTGAGGAGTCCAGCTTTGTCACAGTGCAACAGACTGTAATAAGCTTTGCAAAAACAAAGGCTTTCATTGCATTATGTAGTATTTGCTAATGTTAAACAGAATAATAATTCAACTTTATTTGTCATTCTACTTACACGGGTGCATAGTATGGTGAAAAGTGTTTCTCATGAGTCTCTCAGGTGCAGTATATAAATAGAACAGCAGACAAGACAAGAGACAGAAATACAATAACAGTGTAAACAACAGTATGGTGCCATTGCAAAATTGTCAAAAACTGTGCAAATACGCAGAGAAAAGTATACAAACAGGACAAAAACAGTGCAAAAGTAAAACGGTAAACAGTGCAAAAGTAAAACGGTGAACAGTGCAAAAATAATACGGTGATTAATAGTACAACTAGTACAGTTTTAAGTACAATTCCGGTTTACATTCAGTTGTCGTGTGTGTAGTGGTGTAGGAGTACTGTCATTGTGGGTACAGGAAGTAGTGAGGAGAGGTCACATTTTTCTGAGTGTAATTTCAGGTGTTGCAAACCCCTTCCTGCTCTGAGCTGTCCTGCTGAAAGCTGCTCTGTCTCTCTCTGTCCCGCCTCAGGACCGGCTGGCCCGCTGCACCATGCACTGCAACGACAAGGCCAAGGACGCGTTCGAGTCGGGCGCGAAGGAGGCGGCGGTGCGCGGGCAGCTGGAGCGCTGCGTGGGCGGCTGTGTGGACGAGCACCTGAGCCTGCTGCCCAGCGTGACGCGCCGGCTGAAGGACAGCCTGGCCTCCATCAAGCAGTGAGGACGGGGGCGCTGGGAGCCGGCCCGGGGGCCATCTGGGCCTGCAGCCGACAGCGAGGCCAGCAGGCACGGAGCGGGGACACGGACTGGCCGGCGGCGCGGGCCTTCGGCACAGACAGAGGGCGCGGACCGCCCCGACGGACTGACCCCTGTCCTCCCGAGGACAGGTGGAGTGGGACACCCTGGCTGTGTCAGACCGTGAAGACAAGCGGATGAAACTTGGGACTCCCCGTGCATAGCAGTTTGATCCAGTCCGGGTTTTACCACCTGCCGTCTCTAGTAAACAGAGAAAATGAAATCTAGACAGTTTTCATTTTCTCGTATATTCATGTCTGTCTATGTTTTGCAGACTGGAATTAAAGTAGAAAGGAGAGAAGGAGTGTGGTAAAACTTGAAATGGATCTTATTGGTACCTCTGTGTTCTTCGTTTGTCAGGAGAAAACCATGAGCAGCTGTGAACCACTAGAGCCAAGTTTCTGCACAACTCTCTACCTCCTCCTGCAGGGGGTGCAATTGTGGCTTCAGTTTTACACACTGTGGAATTTGCTGCTGACAGCACTGTTTCCCTTTTTGTATTGCAACAATTCAAAATCGGGAATAAAATCCGTTTTCTCTGTATTCTCTTAAAAGAGAGATGGTGTGTCTGTCTTCAGGCTTGGATTGTGCCTGTTTGTCTGTATTTGGGAGGGTGTGACCAGAACCGTGTGGCTGCTGAGTGAAGATTATTATTTCCACCCTCACAGTCTCTCTAAACACAAGTCACTGCAATTTGAGCCCTATGAGCTGAGCTCGGAGCTATTGGCATGGTGGGGTCGAGACCAGAAAGCCAGTGTCACATGAGTGTGTTCGATGCATGTTAGCATTAAAAGTATATAATCCCTTTGAGTGTCCATAAGGAATGAGTAGTGGATAGTTCCACTTTTAACAGTAACAAAAAGTAATGTTTCATCTGTGGATCCTTCTTCAGCTGTGTGTCTAGATATGTAACTAGTTGTTTAATAACTGTAACCCTAGAGGAATGTGTGGAATTTCTCTATGCAGAGTGTTAAATTCATATAATTTCTAGAACAACCCCATCGGAGAGGGTCAAGTGAGAAGCTTGCTGATAAGGGTTCAGTGTTCTACTTGTGTTTATTAAAGCCCCACCACACCACTGGATTTAGTTGTCTGCATTTAAGGGGAGGTCACTAAATGAAGTTGAGATCCATTCACTGCTAGATGGTTGAGCTGTTTACCACCAGCACCTTCACAGAGATCCCTTGTCCAAGCCCAGAGAATGGCCAATCTCCGCTGGCCAGCGAGGAATGAAGACGCGTATGAGTGCTGGTTTGTGTTGGTATGCTGCAGTGTGAAATTCAGATCTTCCATGCAGTGCTGTAATTACTTATTTAACAACTACCTTCATTAACAAGTTCTATACATACCAAAATATTAGCAATTAATCTACTTTGCATAAAACATTATGCACAATAATTGACAGAGCCTAGTTAATGTGAGGTTTGAAAGGTCTTTAGAAGGTGTCATAGTTATTATGGAATCCCACATACAGTATGTGCTTTCAGACACATCCTTGTCTGTGACCTCTGACCTCTTCTAAAGTTCATATGCCAAACTGGTATATCTCCTGAAAGAGTGAAGTTTTCACAAAATGTCCTTGCCCATGCCCTTTGACCCTTCCTAAAGATCTGATGTACAAACATTCATTCTTGGTTAATATATTTAGAATTATGGTTATGCATATAAACATCCTTCTTTGTTCTGCCAAAAAATTGCTAGCCAGTAACTTCTACTCTCTTTATTTTCATTATGCTTTCTGGTTTTCCAATCTCTATGAAATCAATAATCAATCACTTCTATTGAGCTTTCAGTGAGAGTGTGCTATCTGGAGAACTCTGTTACATCCGCACCTAGATTTGCTACCTCTTGCTACAGTTTGCCCTAACTGGACCACCGGTTAAGCTACAGCGCGGCACTTGCTGTCTTTAGGAAAGCTCTTTTTAAATAATATGATTTTTATAGCAGTATTGCCTGCCCAATTATTCATTAGGCTTGTTGCCTGTTCGGCATGAACAGGTATTTATCGGTCAAGAAAATCTTTACAATCAATGCACCCATCGTGTTCTTGCTCGTTTGCAGGATAGTATTTCCAGTTTCAGGAGAGAATGCGCGTGAACTTGGGTTGCCGAGAGGAGTCGCAAATGGAAAGGGAATATTCAATTAAACGGCGTTGGAGTAGTGGCAGTGTTCGGGCGATTGTTGATGACGCATAACGTAAGCCGGAAGGTATGGTCGGACTTTTTTTATGGTAACGCGTTCGTCCTTTGTGGTGCAGCGTGCGTGGAGTTTGGCGGTGAAGTCGCTGAGAGCGCAGTGGTCTTTTTATTGAACGGATATAAAACTATAGCTTTCTACACGTAAACATGAGCAAAGCACACCCCCCCGAGTTGAAGAAGTAAGTATTTCTTGTTTTAGTCTCGTAGGGTCATTTGTGTCTTTCGTTTTTATCACGGTAGTTGTTGGATCTTGGGGGGGGGTTGTACTTGGCTGAGATACAAACTTGAAATGTTTCGCCATTAAAACTAGATAAAATATTCTGAAGGGCTCCTGTAGTTCCGTGATATTTGGATCTGTTTCCAACCGTGGAGACGACGTTAATATTTCTCAAAGAATTGTTAATACGTTTCCGACTTCGCTTCGTGAACCGAGTGCAAACGTTATCGTAACGTTTGGCTTCGAAAATACTGTCCACACAGCGTTATACATCACAGGTTTCGGTACTGTGTATTTTCTAAAGCGTTTGTAACGTGAGATTAGATTGTTTACCCCGTAATATTAAAATGCCGCGTTAACGATCCGGATAGGTCGTGAATGTATAAGCTTGTATACTTTTGCTTTAGAAAGAGCGACCTGTGACGAAAGCTACCTCTGCAAACCACGATTATGCGCACGAAAGTCCCACGAAAACTGATTGACTTGCGCGAGACTCGTAGAAAGTAACTCTAAAATAATAATAATAATGTAATGGGTTTAATCGATTTTAAGGCTTTAAAACGTAATATTAAACAAGCTACAATTGTCAGTTGCAGAAATCATGGACGGACTTGTTTCGTCACTTCCGGTTTTTCTTCTGTAGTACTCTATGGTGGTAGATGAAAACTCGCGCCAAGCTGTGGATTGCAGGAGAGCGTGGAAAAGCCTGTTTACATTTTCATTGCGTAGGTTGGGGACGCTATATAGGTCACTGAATAACAGATGTATAGCAGCTAGGTAAACGTGATCTTTTTTAAATATTATTGAGCCTCCTTTAAGATCGCCTTTAAGGTTCATTGCTTTGCTTAATGCAGAACAGAATCTGGAGGCGATGCCTTTAAAGGTTTGTGGAGGTTTAAGCGATAATGCTTTGTTAAATACAGGCAAACACGTCCAGTAGTGTTGTTTCTTAGAAGGGAAAATATTTGAAACAATACAGCTTGAGAAGTGTACAATTAAACCATTATTTATGACATTACTTTCAGAATGTATGACCAACAATCACATACACATGAGCAAATGCTAAATTCCACAGAATATCAGTTACTTTTACTTACGGATGCTCCCAAACGTTATAAATACGGTCAGAGTAGGGAATGATAGCAGGTCAGTCTATATTAAACAAGTCTTGAAAATATGTCAGTAATGTTAGCTTATGTTTGCTGCATAAGCTAACATTTTTCACATGTTGGTTTACATGATAAATCCAGCATGTTTTCTATAACATGCCACAGGTCGAATGATGTACAGACTTTGTAGAACATTTTTTTTTGTATTGAATCTAACAACTTTTTTTTTCCTTTTTGTCCAGGTTCATGGACAAGAAGTTGTCATGTGAGTATGTAGGGTTTCAGTTGCTGAACTGAGGTGTTTGGACCCCTCCCAGGAGAAACTTGATATGGTCTGATGAACTGTCCCTCACCATGTTCTCGACTGACAAGTGCATGTGTGATGCCATTGTAAAAGATTACAGCCGTCAGTCCTCAGTTCCAATAGTGAATTGATCCATTACCCAGGTGTTAGTTGTATGACTTTCACATGGAAGGGTGGTGCTTCAGTCCTCCTGCAGAGTTCTGGGCAGTGCCAGTGACTCTATGCTATGCATACAGGCTGCACATGGTCACTATTAGTGACTTTAAATTGTTCCCATTTTTATTATCCACATCTTACATTTTATGATGACCCAAAACTGCACTAAGGTGAGATAGGAAGGACTTTTTCCAGTAAAAGCTCTGACTATTAACTAACAACAGTGAAACATCTAGCATGCAGAGAGGGCTAATGAAAAGCTAAGGGTTGCAAAGATGAGTACCAGTGATAGATTGAGAAAAATGGTTTAAAACATCCTCTCCTAAGATGTTTTTGCATGCACTGCTAACATCACCATCGTCCATGATGGGGATTACAGATGTGCACAAGTATAGACCTAGAGGAAAATGTGTCCTTTGCTGCCATAATGTTTCAGATCCAAAAATTATCTTGGAATTTATGAAAGCTAAAACCATTTAAATTAAACCATATGTTTTAATATTTATAAAATAACTAATCATCATTCTTGAAATGTATACAAAAACTTTGTGTTTTTTGTTAACAGCAGGTATTTTTATTTTAAATAGGTATGTATAAATCAGTGGCTCTTCACCACTTAAAGACCTCTTCAATTGAGATTCAGCAGGCTGCATTAAGATTGATTAAGCCAGTAACTAGTTCTATTAAACCAGGAGTCCAGGGGTGCTGGTGTCTTTGAGGGTTTTCAGTCTGCCTGGGCTCTTAGTGATCCTAAATGGCTCATTAATGGTTGAATTGGAGCAATTATACAGCTGTTGCAACCAGTTTTTGGTGGTGCTTTAAAAAGACCTGTAATACCAGCAGACACCCCTCAGGATCAGGACCTCCTATTAAACGTTTACAGTCCAAGTCAGATTGAAAACCCATAGTTCTCCAGGACTGAGATTGGATAGCCCCGTGTTAAACATGTAAAATAGGGGTGTCGAACTCCATTCCTGGAGGGCTTAGTCTCTTCTGGTTTCTGTTCCAATCTGAATAGTCAATTAAACAAGTTCATTATTTTCCTGGACATTCCTAAGAATTTTCTAACTGCCTTTTAGTATTGTTCACTCGTACCTTTCACAAAGGTAGGGTTACGTTCGAATGACCTCAGAGGCTGGTTAGAGGTGTTTCCACCCTGCAGTTTAATATTGGAGGATTCAGACAGCTGTGGGTGGAAGAACACGAACCAGAAGACACTGGCCCTGCAGGGGGCGAGTTGACTCCCCTGATCTAAGAGCCGAATCAGATTGGGAAGATGGAACACCTAGCTCTCCAGGCTCAAGGTCGCACAGCCCCGATATGAACCTCCCCCCTCTCTCTCTCCCACCTAGTGAAGCTCAATGGCGGCCGGCATGTTCAGGGTATCCTGCGCGGGTTCGACCCCTTCATGAACCTGGTGATGGATGATTGTCAAGAGATGGCATCTGGGGGACAGCAGAACAACATCGGCATGGTGGTGAGGGTGGCTTCATTGTGCCGTTTTCGTGTGGTTTGGGAGTGAGGTCATGGAGGCAGGTCAGACTCCAGCTTGCACAGCAGTTTGAGCCATTTCAGGTTTTACTGCCAGCTGCTGTATAGACACCAGCTGCAGGGGCAGGGCAATTCAAGTTTAAATTCAAGTTCTTTCTACACCTGTTAACTCAAAAAAGGCAACAGTGTACTTCTCAACACCACTTGCGCAGAAGCATGTTCCAAGTGAAGATAAAATGTATTTGACATAAGGTTGATAAAGTAACAATTCTATGTTGGGTTCAAACAGTGTTTTGAAGATTTGTTTGGAATTATCTCTTTGTAGTTTTTCAGCTCAGTCCTATTCTAGCGCATAACAGTGAGGAGATGCCTGAAATGTACCCACCTTAATGACATTAATGGCTTTTTTGACAATCCAAACGTTGGGTATGACTCTTATAAGAGTTATAAGTAGTATACAGCATTGTTAGTGTCAGTTCCCCTCACTATGAACTTCATCATTACAAAGACATTAGTTGAGAGACAAAGAGAAGTACTGCACAGTAACAATTTACTTATTAAAGATTAAAATAAGGATCGTTTAATGCTCATATCGTGCAAAGCTGTGTATATGTAACAGCTTACTTAATGCTGTCATTTAGGTTAACTACAGTACAGTATCCACAGTATTGAGGCAGATTCAGTAGTTACATTTGTGACAAGCTTTCTGTTATTCTGAGGGTTTTGAGAAAAACGTCATCCTCCCGTTGTGCTGTCTTGTCCTCCCAGGTGATCCGAGGGAACAGCATCATTATGCTGGAAGCTCTGGAGAGAGTATGAGGGGTGGGTGTGTCCCTGCTGTGGCCACACCTGTTGCGAGGAGCAGCCGAGGTGCAGAATTGGGCATCGCAGATCCCTCCCACTCCAGCAGCCTGTATCTCCCCTGGAGGCCGTTCACGTCTGCCCTGCAGTTAATTTCCACACAAGCCCTTTGGTGTTCGTGTTCAACGGCACATTCTTTGCTAGAAAAATAAGCCTGCGGTAGCAGTCCTGCACATCATTTTCAACTGTGAAGAGGACTAACGATATTTGTTGTAGGACTATATTTGTGCTGCATAGAGTCCCCTCCTTGTTGTACTTGAAATTTGCTGAATTCTGGATGCTATATCACATATTTTCTATTTACCTAGACATGGTAGAATTTAATTAGTTAAGACAATTGGCAGGTATAGTACCTAATGAATCATTTATTTTGAATTAAATGACTTAACATCGTATTTCCTATTATGATGCTGTCGTGTACAAATTGCGTTCCAGGAAGGCTGTACTTTCAAGTTCACGTTTGAGGGCAGCTTCAAGGCTTATCAGGCAGTTTTTCCATGTTGTGGAAATGCAATTTGCCTCAAGAAAGAGGGTTTGATTTAGTCAGTGTTCCCTTGTTTTACAATGTGCAAAAACATGATGCAACCCTTGTAGAAAGGGGAAAGGTGGAAATCGAAGCTCTAGGTGACAGAGGAAGGCATGGGTTATCTGTGTTTTAATTAGATCAAATGTGGTTATAGATCTAAACAATAAGTCAGGTCATGAGCCAGAAATTCAGTAGCCAGTTGTTGAGGGGTGGAGTGTGATGCACAGTTCTTTTTTTTTTTACAATATTTTTGTGATGTTTTGTGAAATGTAATCTAATAAACAATTTCTAGTCGTATACCTGTGCGAAGGATCATGTAATTTTATTTCTTTGCCACAAATCCCACGTTGTAGCTTTGCAATACGTTTTTCCTGCGTCGGGGGTGGGCTGCTCATCTGGTTCTCTGGACCGTTTGAGTAATGCAAAGTATTAAGAGGTTAGAGACAGAAGCTGCATCAGCATGCATCAGCATGCAAGACAGGAGTAAACTTGCATTCCATGCCAAAAAGACAAAAGGGAAATCTACGTCCCATTCCTTTGTCATTTTTTTATTTCTAAACATGAATATTTAAGTCCTCTTTATTAATCTATTTTTTTTGTTAAATGCCAGTTACTGAGACTGCTGTTGCAGGATGTCAGTTGTAGTCTCCTTGATATGGAGTGTAGGGGGTTCGTGTTTGTCTTAATAACAGAGCACCCTAAACTCCTGTGGATGTTTGAAAGTGGCGGTAATGGGCAGTGTATTTGCCCTTCTCTAACACAAGGACATCCCTCCTCTTCTCACTGGCTCTCCCTTTAACTGAAAGGAGCAAAAATTGTATTGTAACTATCGTACCACGGCGCCTGCTACAATTGTCCTGATGCTGATCGCCAGGATAATGCAAATTTACTGTAAAGTGATTTAAATGAATCCACTCCCAGGACAACTGTAGTTTCAATTGTGATTACTTTTAACATGTTTTTATTCATTGGTCATTTTTGCACTGTTTAGATCTTCAAGATTAGATTGACAAGAAAAATCAGGTCACAGCCTCATTGAAAATACATTTACCAAGGTTTGCAGTCCATGGCTGTCAAGTATAGCTATTATTTGCCATTTTTTTTGCACTTGTTAATTAAAAAAATACTTTTTATAGTTGTTTATACTACATTTTTGTGTTAAAAGTTAGAATTTTGTTAATTAAGGCAACAGGTAAATGCCATGAGTAAAACATCATACACGGATAATGCTTCAGATATGGTCTTTAGTGTTCCTTACTTCTGCTGTCTGAAGGTGCTGGGTAGGTTGGCACCGTTGCTGTCATTAAGCAGGGTCTCTCAAGGCCTGCTCACTGGGGACCCTTCAGTCGTCAGGTTTATTTTCCAGCTGAGCACTAAGTTAATTATTTGTGTAATTGTACATTTTAATTGTTTTGCGTATCAGCATTTTAAGAACTCAAACTGTCTCATCTAACATGAAAATTGCAATGGTTTAAGACATCTGAACCATTTTGACAGGTTTAATAAGGTTCATTATTTGTTCAGGTAAAGCGTTGAGTACCAGATAGCTCAGCTTGAAAGAAGCCCAGCAGGCATTCGGCGCTAGGAAAGCTGTATCCTCTATTGTGGAGACTGGGGGGGGTTTCCTCAGCTCAGGTCTGGGGGACCAGGGTTCTGAGACTTTTTTTTATCCACTCTCAGCTTCGTGCCCATTTTCACTTGATCCGTGTCAATTCTCATCTTCGCCGGGGTTTTAGTATATAAGAGGTTAAAGAGAGCTGTAAAAACTTCAAGATCTGGCCCCCTAGGCCCAATCCGTAGTTATCCCTGAACATTTTGTTTCTCCCTGCATGTTTGAATCAGCACTTGAATTAATCCCTCCTCCTCCAGCCAGGCATTCCAGAGAGTCTGAGCCATGCATGTAGAGTCCTGGTTCCAAAGATCCACTGCCCCGTCATGTTTCAAAGAGAAGTCGTTGAGTCCAATCATTTCTCCTCGCGTACAGTGGTCATTTTTGCGCTGCTGTGATCTTCAAGGGCTGGGGTCTGAGTGGCCCTCGCTCTTCACAGCTCCCCCCGGAGGCGGGTGTGCAGGTCCTCCTGGTCGATCTGGTGCGTCATGCCGTGCCAGCGGTGGTGGGCCAGCAGGGCGACGTTGCGCGCAGCGATGGCGCTCATCTCCATGGCGCTGGCCGCCCACTCGATGCCGTTGAGGTAGTACAGGCGCTCGTGCAGCACGATGGGCGGCAGCCGCTGCGGGGGGCTGTAGGAGGGGTACGCCAGCCAGGGCACCTCCGAAATCTCGTCCCACTGCAGGAACACGGACCCGAGCTGCTCCTTGCTGAGCCGCTTCCCCGAAAACACCTTCCACACGTTCGGCAGGCTGGCCGGGGGTCTCTTGTACCCCTGGGGTATGTGCACAGGGTCCAGCGAGCTGAGGCTGTTCAGCACCAGCCCCTCGTGCTCCATGGTGAGGATGTCGGACATCCAGAATGCAGAAGCAGGTCCCTTCACCCCCAGGTAGGACACGTTTATGCGGCCGTGCACCAGTGTGGCCACGGTCTGGTGGTAGCGACCCGGGAAGTGGCTCGGGACCGGCGGGGTGATGTTGGGGAAGGAGATGTCCGATTTGTCCTTGTGCAGCGGCGTAGCAATGATCACAATGTCATAGAGGTTGTGAGCCGTGCCCGATTCGGTCGCGTAGTTCACCTCGTACAGAGACACCGAGCCACCTGCAAGGCCAGCACAGAGACGCCTCAGGCTACAGGATATTGGCTATGTGGGGACTATGACC